GTACGTTCAATTTTACAAAATACTCTACATTCAATTAAGACTGATTTTTATTTGCTAATGATTTATAAAGATTGATTATTATTTTGACCAAACAGGAAAGATGAACTTGTTGGATCAATGTTGTTAATCTAAACAAACATAAAAGTTTTTCATATTATTTTTTAGTCTTAATGAGTTTGTAACGTTTTATCAGTGTATGAAATATTTTCATGATTTTTTTATTTATTCCACGATTTGTTAATTCGTTAAAGTTTTGAACAATCTATGAAAATTATTAAGCCGCCTTCTGGCAAATATGTATGTGGTTATGTGTTCGTGTATCATAAGTCACAAACATAATGAATAACATTATAAATTATTCATTCAAACTTTTATTCATTACAAATATATTAAAATAGTTTATATAACAACCATTAAATACCACTTTTAATATATTTATAAATAAAAAAAGTACATAAATTTTCTAGTGTGTTCAAATTTAAATAGTTTTTGGTGGGCTCAATTTTAAATCATCCAGACATTTGGTCAAACACATAGGTGTGTTTAAATTTAAATCATTGGCATTTTATTCGATTGAAATTTAAATTATGTTCAATCATCTATTATGGTACTGTAATGTGTATAATATATATATATATATAGAGTTAGGATCAATCATTAATGACAATCTCGTAATTATTTGATCATAGTGGGTCAAATATGTACATTTAACCAATAAGTAAGGGCAAATTAGACATTTCAATTTAACACAACTACCCAATGGACCCCACCACAAACTACCCCATCACCCAGTGGGACCCACCACAAATCAGCCCATTCTCTCTCTTCCTCTCTCGCACAAAACACACACACGCAGAATACACACAAACAGATCAACCGGCAACCATCCCCGTCGTAGGCCGGCCACCGCCGCCACTCCTCCATCGTCACCCATCGGAGATGAACGCGACACAGAAGGTTTCCGTCGACGGAGAAGATATGGCCGGAGGTGTACCGTTGTTGTACAACACGGACACAGTAGTCGGCAACCAGCCCCGCCGTAGGCCGGCCACCACCCTCGCCACTCATTCTGCAGTCATCCGCCATAGGAGATGAACGCGACACAGAAGGGCTTCCGTCTTCGGCGTAGATCTTATCGGATGTGAATCATCGCTTCCGTCGTCGGCGTAGATCTAGTCGGATGTGAACCGTCGGACTGCGAGGTCGTAGGGAAATCGATTTAGTCGCAGTCGGAGGCGGCGCAGGGGGTGAGATGCAGGTTTTGCGGCGGCGCCGCCGGACTGAATGAGACCGACGTCTGAATTGACACCGCCCGAAGTCGGGGACGGGACACTCGCCGCCTCTGCCGGTGGTGCCGCCGTGGTGTGAGGTCTTCCCGGATTACGATGTTTTTTCGGCGGATGTGGTCAAGTTGATGAAGATTTTATATGGATGGAGGCAATACGCTGCAACAGATAAATTTTTGATATGGACTTGTCTTTAAAAATTTGATAAGTTATAGGTATCTATTTGCAATTAAAACAATTAATATATTTTAATTTAATTCATGATTAAATTTATAATTTACAAAAATTATGCTAAATACACACTAGTGAAATAAAGTGCACAATATAATGTGTGATTATGCACACTGAAAATTAAAAAAAAAAAAAACATCAATCAATTAATTAGAATTTAATACTTTGATTAATATTTAATATATTTTTCTTTACTGAAAATAAATAATATTTTAACATAAATACTATTATTTTTATATATTCGGTTGTTCGATTATTCTACTTTTTTTTTTGTTAAAAAAAACCGACATCGAATCTAAATAACAATATTTTAAAAGTAAATAAAAAAAGAGATAATAGAACCAATATATAAAATTTCAAACTATTTTTTTTTTATGTCGGTTGATTTCATTGGATATTGTGCATTCCGGTTGTCACTAATATGCAATTTGTTTAACAATATTGTGCACTCGCAGTGCAAGCATTTTTAATGATTTCTACAAAACAAACTAATTAAACCGAATCAAAATATTTGGTTTATTTCATCCGTTAGCCAATTATTTCTGTTAATAGAAATAATAAATTATTGAAAATATATTTTTTAGTATTTTAATACTTATATTTCATATTTTATATTATTTATGTTTGATAATACGTATAATATATATACATAAAATATTATTTTTTACATAATTCGACCGTTTTGGTTATTTCAAAAATTAAAGCAGACAACAAATTGAAAAAATCAAAATTTTAAAAATAAAAACAAATTGTTGAAACAAAATATAATATTCTATTAAAAAATTTAGTTCGGCCAATATAATGCAACAAGGCATACATTAATGTGCAATCCTTCTAACACTGATGTGCACTCGAAGTGCAACTATCTTTTTATAGCAATGCTTTTAGTATTTATAATTTTTTATTTATTTTATATTATTATTTGTTGAAAATAAATAACATATATAAGTTCGATTATTTCAGTTATTTTATCAAATAGAGCCAACACCGAACCGAAATAACTGATATTTTTAAGTAATAACAGATAATTGAACGAAAATATATAATTATGAACATAAGATTTTAGTTAAGTCGATTTCCGTCACTATTGTGCAATCTGACAGTCATTAATGTGCAGTTCATCTAATACTAATGTGCACTCACACCGTGGACATTTTTTATAATTTGTCCCAAACCAAACTAATAACGAATCGAAAAAAATCAGTTTAATCGTTGGTTAGTCGAATTACCATAAATAATCAAAATAATTTATTACTTATATTATAAAAATATATTTAGAAATTTTTACTTAATATTTTATATAATTTTTGTTGAAAATATATATTGTGCAGTCTGACAGTCATTAACGTGCATATTGTTTAATATTGTTGTGCATTATGAAGCGCGTGTTGTTGCAAATTCAGACTAAAAACAAAAATAATCAGTTTTATCGATTGATTAATTGAATTAATCAAAATAATTAAAATAATTTATTATTTAGATTATGTTATTATTTTTATTTAATATCTTATAGAATTTTAGGTTAAAAAATACATATGTATAAAAGAGAATATAAAAACTAATACTTTTTTACATCTTTTCTCTAAATTTCACATGTGACCCAAGGACTAAATTGAATTACATTAAAATTTCTAGCTTTGTAATCAAGTCCCTAGGACTTATCAAATTTTCAAAGAAGGTCCCTAGATTCAAAAAGCAATTCCTCCATCGGGCTTTCTTCTCCACTGTACAACATCCATTCCCTCCTCCCTCCGGCGGCGCCGGCCTGACGGACGACCACTCCCTCTTCTAAAAAAAAGAAAGAAGAAGAAGA